AACTATCTTAGACTTTTAACTAATCTCCATACTATCTATTGGAGTTCACTATCTTTAATATTGCTCCATACTATCTATTGGAGTTAACTATTATTCTTTTCTCTTCTCAACTATCTTTAGAATCTCTAAGAAATTCTATTATTCTATTTTAATCTCCTGATCTATCTGAAGGAGTCATCTAATTTAATATTTCATTCTATCTTATTCTAATTCAATCTTTTGTATGACCCTTAACTAATAGCTTATATTAAAACCCCTTTATTATATTAACACCCCTTAACCTATTACACAAAACCATCTAAAACAAACTTAATTAATACAGTTCTAGAACCTTCAAGATAAGTCTTGAATTATACCTTACAACACCTCCTCTTAATTCAAGACTTCTTCTTGTAAACCACTCAATTCCAATAAACTTCTAAATCTAACTCTATCCAAACCTTTTGTAAGAATATCTGCTAACATTATATTTGTTGGTATATGTTGAAACAATATTTTTCCATCTGTAATATGATCTCTAATAAAGTGATACCTAATACTAATATGCTTTGTCTTTGGATGAGCCGTAGGATGATTTGCGAGTTTAATAGCAGAATTATTATCACCATAAATAACAACTGGAGTTTCAATTTCTATATCAGTATTTTCAAAGACCAGCAACAACCAAAGTACTTCCTTAACCGTTTCAGCCATACTCATATATTCAGCTTCCGTGGTACTGAGTGCAACTGTAATCTGTTTCTTACTCTTCCAGGAAATTGGAGCACCGGCTAGCTTAACTAAATAACCACTAATTGACTTTTTATCTCTTGATGTTGAACCCCAATCTGCATCAGTATATACTTGAAGACCATCTTTATTATTATAAAATAATGCATACGATTTAGTTCCTTTTAAATATCTTAAAACATGTTTTGCAGCTTTGAAATGTCTCTCTTCAGGATTTTGAAAGTGTCGCGATAATAAACCAACAATAAAACTAATGTCAAAGCGACAAATGTTAGCGGCATAAAGCAATTTTCCGACAATGGACCGGTACTCTGTTGGGTTACAATATTTAGGTTTTTCTTCAATAGTTTCTAAATCTAGTCCATTAATAGTTGGGATAGCAGCTGGGTTACAATCTTGCATACTAAAATCTTGCAACATTTTATCAATATAATCGTGTAGTGAAATTTTAATACC